TATATAAATTGTTTAATCCACCTATATTAATTTGATTGGCTGTGTTATTTCTAAGACTGCAATTAAGTTAGAGATTTTCTCTAAATCAAAAGTAAGTGGTTCAAAACTGGTCTATAGTTCATTTACTGGAACAGTGGCTACCAAAACTGCTTCTGCCCTTAAAAGAAAATCCAATATTAAGATGGGTGCAGGGCTCTAATGTCTCTACTTTCCTGCAGAACCAAGAGCCTTTAGGGGCATTGAGACCCTCATTTAGAAAGTTTAGCTGCTTATGAGATTGTGACATGAGAGTTTTAAATGAAAGTCCTTTGAAAGAGGGAAGACAAATTAACATATGAACAATAAAATTCATGTTGAATTTTATTCAAATAGAGGAGAGGAAAAGAAAAAAAGAGGAAATAGTTAAATGAGAGGATATGTGGATATATGAAAGGGAGAAAATGAGTTTAATGTAGGCTGGAGAGTGTTTCTGAGCAGATAAGGGAGTTGGGAGTCAGGAACAGTGATGGTGGATGGTCAGTTAATGAAGGAACCATACAATGCTTGCTCTAATGCATTTTTCAAGGTATCCATTTCCAGTAATCAAGATATGGAGAAAACCACTTTAGGTTAGTTCATACAACACTTACAAATGAAGTCTACCTTCCCAAAAAGCATTTATTAGAAGCTGTCAGATCAGTAGTGAAAATGTTAAGTTCAGACAATAGCTACAAATGGATGCATGAATAGTTCTTTTGTGTTACTATATCATTTTCCCTCACAAAATCATTGAAATGAATACAAAATGTAACTACCTATTTTTGGGGTTTCTTGTCTTACAGGTAAATTTGTGAGGCCTTTATGAATTAGATGTCAGCTATTTAGTTTCATTTTCATTAAAAATTGATTCTATAAATAATACTGAGTGTAAGAATGACAGAAACATGAAAAGGTAAGGGTTGCTCGTTCCTCTGGGCAAATCCACCAAGAGACCTCTTGTTTGGCTTTCCTTTCCAATTCCCAGACACCCAGGCAGGGTCCTATGACCTTCAATTTTCTGGCAGCTCATACCTTCCCAAGGAAGTGCCAGTTAGAACTGCAGAGCTCAATTCCTCTCATGTCTTCATGACGTAACTTCGCTCACTGTTCACACCAGTAAACCACCCTTGGCCAACATTGCTTCTGGGATACCTTGTAACTTGTCCACTTCATTCCACTGATTCATAATGACAAATTTAGGCATTAATGCCATATATCCACCCAAACCCAGCTCCAGTACCTTCTGTATTCTCATGTGATCCGAGGCAGACAGTCACATCCTCAGCTCACTCTCCAACCCTCCCTATTTCTCATAATCTCTTAATTGAATCTTTCATGGATTCTTATCCATACCTTTAAATTTTGTGTTTTTTTATACCATCTATACTACCACTCGTTCATATTATAGTCCATTATATAGTAGTTTCAGGCCCAAAACTCAATGCAACCCCCTCCCATATACTCCATTCTTTTCATTTCTAGAATAAAAACTCAACAGAAACAGGATACTTGTCTGTGCTATTCACTGCCATATCTAGTGTCCAGAACAGAGACTGGCAAAAATACTTAACAAGTATTTGTTGAAAGGATGAATTTATCCTTTAATTTTTCACATGGCCCGGTTCTGTATTTTGTGCATAACTGATCCTTAAAAAACATTTGTTGAATCAAACTTGTCCAATAAAGAGCTGCTTGGCTCAAAAACACAGGGTCCTGTATTTTACAAATCTGAGTTATAGACCATTCAGAAAAACTTTTCTAAAGTAGTTTCTTGACCTTTTAAAACCACATAATAAAGACATCTCTTGACAGGGGATTTTTTTTTTCTTTCATTAACTTCCGTAATGAGGCTGGGGCCATACCATCTGATGCCAGGGCCAAAAATTATACATTTTAAGCTGAAAAATCCTTCAGAAATGTAATTTCCTTATCTTAGAGGTGAAGATGATAAGGTCAAAAAAGCCATGCTGCATTGTAACTCAATTTCTGTGCCTTCCATTTCAGCATTCTGCAACAATCTGTTTAGAGTATAGACAATGAAAAAAATGTGAGGAGAAAATGTGGTATGGAATGATAGGATCTGGACATATTTATACCAAATCTATAGGTCTCTGTCTATATAAGGCAAGAAATATAAAACCACGTCTTCAATTTCTCCATATGAGATATAAAGGAGGAACCCAAGATTATAGGCTTACTATGTTCTGTTCTAACCAACTGAATCGATCTGACACACAGCAATGATTGAAAAGATCCGCTGCCTTAGAAAAATATAAACAAACATTTTCTAAATATTATGACCTTTATAGACTTGTTATTATTACTTAGGAAATACCTTCCCTACATCTCTCTTATCACCAGGGAGTTAATAGCCAAAAGATGAGAAAATTTCTTCTCTTTCATTACATGTATATAGATAGATAGATAGACACACATATACAGTTGTATACTAATTTTGGTTAGTCATTTGTGGTCTATTCAGGTAAGATAATATTATTTTGAGATTTGGGTATTTCACATACAGAATCACTTTGGAAAGATACAGGGTAAATCCAGGATAGTGCTAAGTTCAGTAGTATAGTGACATTCCAATGTGACTGAGTAGAATTTTATAGTTTATAATTATATATTTAAATTTCATATATTTAAAAGTTTTTTTCCTTTTACATGTAAGCCATCAAAGAAATTAAAGTACAGGAAAATTTCTATTTAAAATATTTTGCTATCCCATTGACTTAGTCAAATCCTTTTCCTAATTAATAGTGTATGTGTGTAATTTTTTTCTTATTCTCCCTCTACTGTCAAACCTGGCAGGGCGTGGTGGCTCATGCCCATAATCCCAGCACTTTAGGAGGCTGAGGTGGGTGGATCACTTGAGGTTAGGAGTTTGCGACCAGCGTGGCCAACATGGTGAAACCCCATCTCTACTAAAAATACAAAAAATTAGCCAGGTGTGGTGGCACGTGCCTGTAAAAAACTACCTGGGTGTCTGAGGCACAAGAATCTCTTGAACCCGGGAGGCAGAGGTGTTGCAGTGAGCTGTGATCACACCACTGCACTCTAGCCTGGGTGATGGAGTGAGACTCTGTCTGAAAAACAAAACAAAACAAAACACCTATGTGCATGCATATATATACCTATTATTTACCATTAACCACAAAGAGTACTTGAGCTTTCTGAATAATTATTTCTTTGTATCAAGTCATCTGGCTAAATTTCAATCTTTCATCCTTTCAAAATGGTTTAGTAAGTAAAGAAACTTTTGAGTGCTTGCTATGTGATAAACATGCATGCATTCATTCAACAAACACTAATTAAGCTTCTATGAACCTTGTTCTTAATACTGGGGATAGAGAGGTAAAGCAGATGGCCATGTTTCTGCTGTGATGAGGCTTATGTTCCATCGGGAGAGGAGACATGAAAAAGTAATTCCAGAGAGTGATATGCATAATGAAAAAAACCATTTTAATGGGACAGAGAGTGACTGGGAAGGTGGACAACCCTAAATATTTCGGGGAAATCCGAGATGACATTTGGTTCTAAATCTGAAAGACAAAGAAACCAACCTTGTGAAGATGAGCATTCTAGGCAGACAGATTAGCAATACAATGGTTCTGAGCTCTGGCCTACTCAAGGGGCAAGGGGAGTAAAGAGAGAGGGGTGAGAAATCAGGTTGGGGAGGTAAGCAGGGGTGCCATCATATCAAACTTTGTAGGCCATGGTACAGGTCCAGACTTTTTTCAAAGGGCAATGGTTTATTATTGGTAGGTTTTAGTCCAGGTAGGAAAATAATCTTATCTAAGATTTAAAAATTCAGTTTGGTTTCATTGTAGGAGAATAGAAAATTAAGCAGGGAGACCAGTGCGGAAGCAGTGTAGCTGCAGTAGAGAGACAGAGAGGGAGAGTCAATTTGTATTTTGGAAGTAAAAATAACAGGATGTGCAAGGAGAAGAAAGCAGAGACACCAAGGAGGATTCCTGGGTTTTTAGCTTCAAGGAACTGCGTATGTGGTAGTGAAATTTCCCAAATATAAGACAGCAGAAGAAATGATGGTCAGGATAATCAAATTTCTGCTTTGGATGTGCTAAAACATCTAAAGAAAGGTAAAAGTAGATAACTGTACTCGTCTGTATTTAAAAAAAGATGCCAAGATGTATCAAGATTTAATACAAACGATTTTTAAGAAATCTTAAGAAACTCCTTTTGTGACAAGTTAAAGATAAATTATACATACACACATGTATATCCATATATATGCATGCATATATAAAATTTGACTACAAAGAAAACTATGCTAATTTTGGAGATATCGGCAGACAGATGGCATTCAAAACCACAAACGACCTAGAATAACCTAGGGTGACAATGTAGGTAATGAAGAGAAGAGGGCTGAAAATTAAACCCAGGGCATTCAAACATTTAACTGTTGGGCAAAGGAGAAGGAATCAGCCAAAAGGTCTAAAAAATTAGTGACTGGAAAGAAAGAGGAATACAAAGAGCATATGCTATAGCAAAAGTCAAGTGAAGAAAATGTTTACTGGGGAGAAGCAATCAACTATATAAAATGTGCTGACAGGCTTAATAACATGAGGACTAAGAATGGGCCAATCACTGGATTTAGCAACATGGTGGTCATGGCTAACTCTGATATTGTTAACTTTGGGTAACATGGAAGGAATGGATATTAAACAGGTAAGAAGTGAAGATAGAATGAAAGGTTAAGAAGCAGAAACAGTGATTACAAAGACAATAGTGCCGGATGTTATTGCAAAGAGCTATGACAAGGTCCTTGTCTTCAAGAAGGGCCCGTGTATGTGTAAGATAAATCTTTTATCAATAATCCCTGAAAAATATGCTTTTTTTTTTTTTTTTTGCCACAAAGGGGGTTACATTTACATTAATGAGCAGTTTCTAAAAACCCGTTACTTACTATAATAAAAGTTAACTTAAATAACACATTTTATTAAGAACACAAAACCTTGAATGTATCAAAAATTTTATTGTCAGATTTTCAGAATGTTTATGTACAAACTAAAATTATATTTTATACATCATTACACAAATTAAAATGCTCAAACATCAGTGTTCAGAATATGTTTTAATATGTCTATTCAAAAAAGGCTGAAGACATTTTAAAAGGATGTTTTCTTTGTCCTATTTTCAAAATCTTCCTAGACAGGATGTTAGATAGCTATCACATATAATATGTGTGAGTGAATATGATAAATGTGGCCTTTGCAACAAAAAGTCTGAAATTTTAGGTAATTACAGGCATGCTGAATGAATAGTTTAGAATAATGTGCCAGTGTCATCATCAAATACTATCTTCGTATACATGTGTAATTCATTTCGCACAATGGTTTCAATTCAGTGTGTATGTAATTAAATTGTAAGGTACAGTAATAGCTGCTAACTTGAAATTCTGCCTTTTCATTTTAAAGAAATGAATAGAAAACATAGTCTAGTGAACATCAAAGTGTTTTTTGAGACTGTTAAATCTCATCAAAGAGGTCTTCTGGGCTGCTGTTTCTCAGAGTTTCTAAAGACATGTTTTCAGCTGAGATGTGCTCCTTTTTCGATGTCTCAGGTAGTGAAGAATCAGGCCTAGAGTTGAAAAGAAAATCAAAATAGTTTTATTTTTAAAAACTTCTGTTACAGAGTAAAAGAAAATGAAGAGACACATAAGTGAAATGACAGTCAAATCCTGTTTCAAAATTGGTTTCGAGATTTACTTCTCTATGCTGTTAACTGTAAGGAAAGAGATGAAGAGACTAATTTCTCTAACTGCTTTAGAATTAATCTGTCTCTATTCTGACCCCAGGAAAATTCAAAAACCTATAACAATACTCATAATTGAGGTCAAGAAATAAAATATACTATCCTCTATGCTATAATCACTTTTATGCCAGGATATAGAAGGTTTCTCAAGTTACTCCTTTAATGATTTCATCACAATTTACATTTTACTCTGGCTTTCTTAAATTCTACCGATTAACGTGCATTTTAATCTCTTAGCAGCAGAAAGTTATGGTCCCATGAACTACCTTTAGTGGGTCGGATGACTATGTGTATATATGAAAAATAATGATTTTTCACATTTATAGCAGTTGTTGATGAAATGTTGGCCCATATTCATTTATCGAATCTGCATATCTTCATTTAGTGAACTAAATTTTACTCAGGTTCAGTATTGTAGTCACTATTTCAATGGATTGAGTGCTATACTTATGTAGATATTTTCTTTGAACCCTAAGATAACAGGCTGACTGCCATGATCACTATTAATTGGTCTTAGAAAGACTGTGCTGGAGAATAACAGAGCTCAATCAGAAGTAAAGCTTTGGAGTGTCTGTTAATATCCTTGTAGAAACCTTGTCAGTGGTTCTCTGTGGAACCTAAATAAAGTATGCTTAATATTATCAATTAGAGGTGGCTTCCGGGGTGATTATGATTAGGTTGAGCTAACCCAGTAACACTTGGTAATACCCCTCTATTTCCAACTTCGAAGGCCGTGGTGGAGTTACAGCACCTTGGTACAGCTGAGAAAGCATGGAACTTGAAGTCAGGAAAAACAAGTTTGAACCCAGGTCTATTTCATATTAGCTATGTAACTTTAGGCAAGTCATTTAAACTAACTGGACTTCTATTCTCTCCACTGTAAAACTGAGATATTAGTACTTTTCTAGAGGTGGTCTAAAGATGAAATGAGTTGATGTAAATGAAAATGCTTATAAATTCCCACAAAATATTTGGAAACTATTATTATTATCTGCTAATACTGCATAAACTACATACGAGTTTCCATTAACAGCAGAGAAGAATAACCATTGAAAACCCCCACATATCAAGTATGTTTAGATGATGAGTATTTTCAAAAGCTTGCACCCTTACCTGGTTGCACAGATTATTAGAAACGAGTTCTCCTTGGCATCATGATTAGAGACAATTAACTATGGTTGGCTGCCACTAGACCTGGGACATGTTCTGTCTTATTCTGAGCAAGCCAATTTCAAACAATATTATCATCACAGGAGTGCCAAGGTGCTAGGCATTAATGTATTCAAGATGACAAGTGCTACCCTCTGGGATTTGCAATGTTAAAATTAACAATAAATACAGGCATAATTATTGTAACATGTAATTAAATATCTAAAAATATATTCCAAAGGAGGAGAAAATGATACAGTATGGGATAAAAGTATAATTATTACAGGTATACGTTTTCTTTGTCAACTCAAAACACATTAAACACTTTTCTCTGGCCAAATGTCTTAGAGTTGCTTGTACTCCTCCTAGGCAAAAGAGATAACTGAACTATCTCAATTAAAAGTAAGAAATGGAAAAATAAGCAAGGCAGATACAATAAATGGTGCACGACAAAGTGGCTAGCCATTTGCAGAAGATTGAAAGTGTGCCCCTATGTATTAGTCCATTCTTGTATTCCTATAAAGAACTACCTGAGACTGGGTAATTTATAAAGAAAAGAGGTTTAATTGGCTCACAGTTCCACAGGCTGTACAGGAAACATGGTTGAGAAGCCTCATGGTAGAAGGTGAAAGGGAAGCAGGCCCGTCTTACACGGCTGGAGAAGGAGGAAGCCGGGGGGAAGATGCCACAAACTTTTAAACAACCAGATCTCATGAGCACTCACTCACTATCATGAGAATGGCAAGGGGGGAATCTGTCTCCAGGATCCAATCACCTCCCACCAGGCCCCTTCTTCAAGATTGAGAATTACAATTAGACACAAGATTTGGGTGGGGACACAAGTCCAAACCATATCGCCCTACCTTTCAACATATAGAAACATTCACTCGAGATGGATTAAAAATTTAAATGTAAGATTTCAAACTATAAAAAACTTAGAAGAAAACCTAGGAAATATCCTTCTCAACATTGGCATTGGCAAAGAATTTTTGGCTAAGTCCCCAAAAACAATTGCAACAAAAACAAAAATTGACAAGCAGGACCTAATTAAACTGAAGAGTTTCTACACAGCAAAAGAAACTATCAACAAAGTAAATAGCCTACAGAATAGGAGAAAATATTCTCAAAATATGCATCTGTCAAAGGTCAAATATCCAGAATCTATATGGAACTTAAATCAACAAGCAAAAAGCAAATCGACCCATTAATAAATGGGCAAAGGACACGAACAGATGCTTCTGAAAAGAAGACACACAAGCAGCCAACAAACATATGAAAAAAAATGCCACATATCACTACTCATCAGAGAAATGCAAATCAAAGCCACAATGAGATACCATCTAACACCAATCAGAATGCCTGTTATTAAAAAGTCAAATAATAATATATGCGGAAGAGGCTGTAGAGAAAAGGGGACACTTATACACTGTTGGTGGGAATGTAAATTACTTCAGCCACAGTGGAAAGTACTTTGGAGATTTGTCAAAGAACTTAAAACATAACTACCATCCAATCCAGCAATCCTGTTACTGGGCATATTCCTCCCAAAAAACCCAAAGTTTTCTACCAAAAAGACACATGCACTGGCATGTTCATTGCAGCACTACTCACAACAGCAAATACATGGAATCAACTTAGGTGGCCATCATTGGTGGACTGGGTAAAGAAAATATAGTACATATACACTATGGAATACTACACAGCCACCAAAAAGAATGAAGCAATGTCCTTTGTAGCAACATGGATGCAGCTGGAGACCATAATCCAGAGCAAATTAATGCAGGAACAGAAAACCAAATACCTGTGTTTTCACTTACAAGTGAGAGCTAAACATTTGGATATACATGGGCATAAAGACAGAAACAATAGACACTGGGGATTAGGGAGGGGTTATGGGCTCAAAAACTACCTATTGGGGATTATGCTCAATACCTGGGTGATGAGATCCCTATCCTAAACCTCAGCATCATGCAACATACCCCTATAATAAACCTGCACATGTACCCCCTGTATCTAAAATAAAAGCTGAAATCATATTTAAGAAGTCAGACATGGAAAGATCTCCGTAATTGTGCCCATTGTTTAGATACTGTGCACCAGAACACAGAGATCTATCAATTTTGTTTTTAAAAAAATCAGCATATGACCAAAGGACCATTCTGAAGTGACCAGACTGAAGGATAAATAGATTCCTGGTGCTTCACTTACAATTTACAATTCCTTCTGAGGTCATGAGGAGCTAAGAAATAGATTTTGACTCCTGTTCATAGTGCCTAGTCATAACAGGTACTCAGTAAAAGTTGTCCTGAATGGAGATCATTGAGTTTTTATATCCATGGCGAGTCAATAGAGTAAATTTAGAACTCTCTCCACAACTCTTAAAACAGTTTTATTATTTTTACAGGTAATAAATGTTTATTGTTAGACATTTTGTAAATTCTGAAAAGCATAAAAAAGAACACAAAAATGTTGATATGGCTTGGTTGTGTCCCCACCTGAATCTCTTTTTGAACTCAATGTTGGAGGAAGGGCCTGTTGGGAGGTGATTGGATCATGGGGGTGGACTTCTCCCTTGCTATTCTTGTGATAGTATGTGTGTAACCAGAGAAGTGGGGCATTGCTATAAAGGTATGTGAAAATATAGAAGCAACTTTGGAACTGGGTAATAAGCAGAGGTTGGAACAGTTTGGAGGGGTCAGAAAAAGAAAGGAAGATGAGGGAAAGTTTGGAACATCCTAGAGACTTGTTAAATTGTTGTGACCAAAATGCTGATGGTGATATGGACAATGAAGTCCAGGCTGAGGTGGTCTCAGATGGAGATAAGGAAGTTATTGAGAACTGGAGTAAAGGTCACTCTTGCTATGCTTTAGCAAAGACCATTTCATTGTGCCCCTGGTCTAGGGATTTGTTGTACTTTGAACTTGAGAAGATGATTTAGGGTTGCTGGTGGAAGAAATTTCTAAGCAGCAAAGCATTCAAGGTGTGGCCTGGCTGCTTCTAAAAGCCTACTCTCATCTGCATGAACAAATAAATGACCTGGAACTTATATTTAAAAGGAAAGCAGAATAAAAGTGAAAATTTTGCAGCCTTGTCATATGGTAGAAAAGAAAAACCCATTTTCTGGGGAGGAATTCAAGGCTGCAGAAATTTGCACAAGTAAACAGGAGCCAACTGTTAATAACCAAGACAGTGCCTCCAAGGCATTTCAGAGATCTCCATGGCAGCCCCTCCCATCACAGGCCAGGAGGCCTAGGAGGGTAGACTTGTTTTGTGGGCCAGCCCAAGGGCCCTGCTACTCTGTGCAGCCTTGGGACATGGCACCCCGCATTGTGGCTGCTCCTGCTCCAGCTGTTGCTAAAAGGGGCCAAAATGCAGCTCAGGCCATTGCTTTAGAGGGTACAAGTCTCAAGCCTTGGTGTCTTCCATGTGGTGGTAAGCCTGCAGATGTGTAAAGTGCACGAGCTGAGGCTTGGGAGCCTCCACCTAGGTTTCAGAGGATGTATGGAAATGCCTGGATGTCCAGGCAGAAGTCTGCTGCAGGGGTACAGTCCTCATGGAGAAGCTCTACTAGGGCAGTGTGGATGGAAAATGTGTAGTTGGAGTCCCCAAAGAGACACTGCCTAATGGAACTGTAAGAAGACAGCTACTGTCCTCCAGACCACAGAATGGTAGATCCATCATCAGCTTGTGCCATGCATCTGGAAAAGCTGCAGGCACTCAACACCAGCCTATGAAAGCAGGCATAGGGGCTCTACCCTGGAGAGCCACAGGGGCAGAGTTTCCCAAGGACCTGGGAGTCTACCCCTTGCATCACTGTGCCCTGGATGTGAGACATGGAGTCAAAGGAGATTATCTGGGAGCTTTTAGATTTAATGACTACCATGCTGGTTTTTGAACTTGCATGGGGCCTGTAGCCCCTTTGTTTTGGCCAATTTCTCCCACTTAGAATAGAAGCACTTACCCAATGCTTGTACCCCATTGTATCTTGGAGGAAACTAGCTTGGTTTTGATTTTACAGGCTCGTAGGTTGAAGAGACTTGCCTTATCTCACATGAGACCTTGGACTTGAACATTTGAGCTAACACTGCAATGAGTTAAGATTTTGGCGGACTGTTGGCAAGGCATGATCGTGTTTTGAAATGTGAGAAGGGGATGTGGGAGGGGCCGGGGATGGCATGATGTGGTCTGGCTTTGTGTCTGCACCCAAATCTCATGGTGAATTGTAATCCCCAATGTTGGAGGAGGGGCCTGGTGGGAAGCGACTGGATCATGGGGGCAGATATCCCCCTTGCTGTTCTCGTGATAGTGTGTGAGTTCTCATGAGATCTCATTGTTTAAAAGTGTGCAGCACTTCCCCTTTTGCTTTCTCTCTCCTGCCAGTCATGTGAAGATATGCCTGCTTCCCTTTTGCCTTCCATCATGATTATATGTTTCCTGAGGCCTCCCCAGCAGCAGAAGCCTGTGAAGCCTACAGAACTGTGAGTTGATTAAACCTCTTTTCTTTATAAATTACCCAGTGTCAGACATGTCTTTATAGCAGGGTGAGAAAAGACGAATACAAATGGCTACTATCTTATTTTGCATTACTTGTATTTTCACAGCCTTTTTTTTTTTTACAAAAATGTGATCATTCTATACATTTATAGTTTTGCAGCTTGATATTTTTACTCTATAATACATTAGAGATGTATTTTCATGCTGAAAACTTTAGATCCATATTCATCATTAATTTTAATTTTGATATACTAACCATTAGTTCACTGATAGAGGTTTGGGTTGGTTCAATATTTAAATGCCCTCATAAACAAGACAACAATTAGTATCCTTATACATATACCTTAGCATTTTTATATTTTTTTTCATGAACATGCTTGTTCTAAGGAATCATGCTTAGAGGTATAATTTGAAAAAAACAACTCAGAGAACCTGTATCTAAAGTTTTAATATAAGGTGAGAGAAACAAATAAATAGAAACTTGGGTGTTCCTAATGAAATTATAGCCATTAGTTATGGCTCTGTTTAAATTCTAAACCTTCCATAAAGACTTACTTTATTTTCATATTCCTATTTCATTTCATATTCATAATTTTATTTCCTCTAGTCATTTACAGTACCTAATATCTGTATCTTATATTTCAATATATAGTTTTATTTATTTAATCAATACTGTACTTGTTGATTATACACTATGAACAACTCACTGTGTTAGGAAAATAGAACAAATGTGTTACTCCTGCTCTCAGAAAGCTTTCAGTTAAACATTTACTTTATCTAATTTTTTCAAATGTGTCTTTTTATCTTAACAATGTTATAAATAGCTGGAAAGTAACAACTAAATAACATAATTTGTTCATAAAGAGTGACTTATCGCTTTAGGCATCTCTATAAGTATATTAATATTTAACATAGAGGTATATGTTCGGATAGTTTTCTGTGGACAAAGTGGTTCAATAGGGGATATTCTGAAACTAGATATTCTGAATCTCAATAGAAATTTTGGTCAGGTCACTGCTGGACCCCAGTTTCTTCATTTGTGGAAGGCTGAGGTTATTATAAATGATCTTAGAGCTCTTTCAGTTCCTGAATCTGAATTTGTTATGCTTGAATAGTTCAGCATAGACTACTTTGCAAAATACATGCTCTCAAGAAATATTTGTGGAATAAATGATTAATGTGAATTAAAGAGGAAAGATTAATGACAGAATAAGAAACTAAAGTTACAGGCTAAAGCCTAAGTCTTCTTTCAAATAAAGAGAATATAATGAAACTTCTCCAGATGACACTCTCACAAAAAGGTGGTGTATATTCTCAATAATATAGTTGCAGAGATTTCTATGTTCTATTAGTTGAATTTCATACTGTGTTAAAGCACACACACGCAGACACACACATACACAAACTACAACTTGAATCAAAATTGCACTACATCATCTAACTAACAATGAACACTGTACATCAAAAGCTAGATTTATTAAAAACAAAGTCTCATCCAGGGAAAGTTTCTCTAAAAATATTAGAATAAATGATTGACTTCTCTTTTAACTTTATAGGAGTTAAATTAATAACATCTTTAAAATGATATTTGTCTCATTTTGTAAAGACATTTTCTCAGCCAAGTTTAAAATGGTATCACTATGGCTGGAACAGCAATCCCTTCCTACTCAAACGAGAAGCATTAGTATTGTTTAGAGTGACTTATATATTCTGAGAGTAGTATTTCTGAAATATGTCATAGTGTCAACCTGAGCAAACAGAGAGATCCAGGAAAATGAATAGTGATTGATGGCACCATAACACTTGAAGAATCATGCTTGTTCGACTTTGACACAAACAATGATCTAAATTTAAAAAATAAATTGTTATTTTAGGTAAAATAACTAATTTTTGAGGCCTAACTATATCTCTACCTATACAACACACATAGAATTCAAATTTTTTTGTGTCAAAAGTCAAACAAGTATGATTCCAGGTGAATTAAACACTTAAGTGAGAAAGGCAAAGCTTTAAAGCTTTTAGAAGAAAATACAGGGGAATGTCTTTATTACTTTGAAATAAGAAAGTTTGTTCAAGGCAGAAATCGAAAACCATTAAGATAAAGATTGATACACTGAATTGCATTTGAAGTAAGTACTTCTGTTTATCAATAGATACCTTAAAGAGAATGAAATGACACGACACAAACTGTGAGGAGATACTGCAACATATGCTAGTAACAAAGAATATCCAAAGAACTCCTATTAACGATTTTTTAAAAACCAAAACATATGCCAAAGACTATAGGAACTTCCAAAAAGGGGAATAATGGAGGTAAATAAGCATATGATAATAAGCTCAACTTCATTAATGACCAAGAAAATGCAAATTAAAGCCAATGTGAAATAGTTTATACCAGATAAGCAAAAATTAAAATGTACAATAATATCAAAGATTTTGAAGGATGTAGAATAACTAGATAAATTATTGCTGGTAGGAGAACAAATGTTTGAAACCATTTTATAAAACAACTTGGCAATAACTGTCAAGGTATATGAAGGTATATTCCTATAACTTAGGAATTCCACTCATAGGTACGTTCCCTTGAGAAACATTGGGTGTATCAGGAGATATGTACCCAATCATAGATGCATTGTTTACAACAGTGAAAAACAAGAACTACCCAAATGTCTCTCCACAGGAAAATAGGGGAATTAATTATTAAATTTTCATATAATGGACGAGATTATACAGTTATACACATATATGAATCTTAAGCATAATGTTGAGCAAAAGAGCAAGGCTCACACTTGTATCCTAACACTTTGGGAGGCTGAGGCGGGAGGATCATTTGAGCCTAGTAGTATGAGAAGTATGAGACCATACTACTGGGCAAGACAGTGAGACTCCGTCTGTAGAAAAAAAAAAGGTAAAAAATAAATTAGCTGTGTGTGGTGGTACACATCTGTAGTGTTAGCTACTCAAGAGGCTGAAGCAGGAGGATCCCTTGAGCCCAGGAGTTTGAGGATGCAGTGAACTATGATCATGCCATTGCATGCCAGCCTGGGTGATAGAGTGGGACTCCATCTCTTAAAAAAAATACACACATTTAAATAAATGATTATATTTATTTAAATTTCAAAACCATGCAAAACTATGCAATATTACTCTTTGAACAATGGAGTGTGTGTGTGTGTATGTGTGTGTGTGTGATTTGTGTCAGTGTATCTTTGTATGCACACACGTAATACTTTGGGATCTGATCTGCTATTTCATGAGAGAATGGTTCTGGATCTTATTATTTCTCTTCTGTGACAATATTCTCAGAATTCTAGATTTTGTAGCTTTGGCTATTGTGAAGATGGTGACACAGAAGAGGAGAAGGTTTAGGATTAGGCATAAAGACGTCAGTTTCAGACATAACAGGTGAGTTTGAAGTGCCCAAAGGATATTCAAATGCAGATATATGTTGAATAGGGTAACAAATACACAGGTATAGGACTCAGGAGAGATGTCTGGACTAGATGCACCAAGACAGCAGTCATTGCTATAAGGCAACTGGGTGAGTT